TTGTTTATCTATTTTTTAAAGAAATTGTGAGACTCCATGGCATACTCAGGACTTTCACCTCTGACAGGGATACTAGGTTTTTAAGCCATTTTTGAAGAACACTTTGGTCAAAATTAGGGACTACTCTCCAATTCATTAGCGCATATCACCCACAAATAGATGGGCAAACTGAAATTGTCAACATAAGTTTAGGAAACTTGCTTAGATGTCTTGCTAGTGAGAAACCTTCTCAATGGGATTTGATTTTATCCCAAGCTGAATTTGCTTACAACAATTATATTAACCGATCTACTGGAAAGACCCTTTTTGAAATCATTTATGGCTATCTTATTCCTCATATTTTAGATCGAACTTGTTTACCCATGCCTAATAAAATCAGTGTTGAAGCTACAGAAATTATTGATCAAATTAAATTGATCCAACATCAGGTCCTAGAAAAACTCTGAATGGCAAATACTAAATACAAAACTATTGCTGACAAACACCGGAGAGAGTGTTATTTTCAAGAGGGTGATCTAGTTATGATTTATTTTCGACGACAGAGCTTTCCTGTTGGAACTTTTGGCAAGCTAAGCCAAAAAAAAATTGGGCCTTTTTAGATACTTCGAAAGTTGGGAACAAATGCTTACCTACTGGATCTTCCACTTTTTGTTGGAACTTCACATATGTTTAATGTTTCTTACCTTACTTTATATAAAATAAATCCAGATGATTATGTGGATTTAGAGACCTTACTAGTTACAAGCCTAGTTCAGGCCAAAGATTATCATATTGAAGATGTTTTGGACATTAGGACTGCCCAGACCAGGCATGGAGTGCACAAGCAGTTCCTGGTAAAATGGAGTGGACGTCCGTTGACTGATTGTACTTGAATTGAAGCAGTGGAACTTCAATCTCATCGTCCTGATATCTATCAATGCATTAGTGAAGCATTATCATCAGGAGATGAGATTCTCCCACCTGGTTGAAATTGACACATTCAATACTTCATGTTCATGTTTTAAGGTACTCTTATTTTATGTTATTGTAAGTTTTTACTTTAATTTTTGTTTACCCAATGATGGAAGGCAACCGATGAACATGTGTGGTTTAGGTGCTCATTGGACATGTTATTCCTTTGGTGTGCTAGCTTCTTTGGGTGCTTTGTGTTTGGGCTGATTTGGGTTTGTTGGGGGCGAATGGCTGCTGTCTGTTTAGTGGATGTTCGGTTTTTGTAGCTTTCCCGATTCCCTGGCTTGGCTATTCAGGTCCTATTGATGTTCCCTGGCTTTCCCAATTCCCTGGCTTGGTTGTTCGGGTCCTGTTGTTGTTCCCTGGCTTTCCCGATTCTTTGGTTGTTTGGGTGGGCTTCTGCCGAGCCTTAATTGCTGCATTTTTCTTCCCTTTTTTTGGTTGGCTGTAAGGGGCGGTTGTGGTTGGTTGTTGGCCTCCTTTTCTTTCCTACTTAAGGAGGTGTTTTGGGCTGTTGTAGGGAGTTTTTGGAGGTGAAAAATATTCTAAAACCTGAGGGTTTCTTCTCTAGCTTGAGAGCAACTTCTTCCCTCCTTAGTTCTTCTTCCAAGTCTTCTATCTAATTATTCTCTCCACAAGTTTCCACCCCATTGTATCCTTCTTCTAAAAGCGTGAGTGGTGTTGGTTGGTCAGTTTTGTTGGTATTTGCTAGAGGAGTTGTACCGAATGTTGGATCAAAGTTGTTATAGTAGACCACTGGTTTGCATGTCCTTGAGCAGTCTATTTACCTAATTATCGTTACATGTGAGGTGACGACTAGTTGGTTATTCTTTGAAAGTTGCACTTGCATTAAGGAAAGAAAATAAGAGCAGTTACAAGCTAAAAAGAAAAAACTAGGGTGGATAGTCCACCCTATCACTATCATCCCTCAACAGACTCAAAAGAGAGGGAGGCACATCATGAATATTACAATTGTTCCACATAAAATCCCCAAAACACGCCAAATGGGCACAAAAGTCCGCAGGCAAGTTGCTTTCCCGGGGGATATGCTGAAAAAGAACTTGCCGGAAGTCCAACAAGAAACCTAGGTCCGGTCCCTCAGTGCGGAGGTGGAACTTGCTAAGGCAGTTAAAGGAGCTTTGCAGCCACCCGATAGCATTGTTGTAGTCTCCCTCGATGATAATGCCGTCTAGATCATACATCTAGTCCTCAATTGCCTCCCGGAAAGCCAGGCCGGCCATAATCTCCGCACGGGTAACGTCCCACTGCTCGACTTTCCTTCCCATAGCCAATAGCAACCGCCCAAGATGGTCCCGAGCCACCACACCCAGCCCGGCCACTGCGTTAGGCCGCACCGACGCGTCCACATTAAACTTCACCCACTTAGGAGGGGGGGTACACCAGAGTTTGTTTAGAGGCAGCCCGGAGGCTGAGAGATATACCATTGCTCCATAGTCGGCATAGCATAAGTTTTCGGAAGCATGGCCAACGCATTGGCCGCGATGACAGTTGGCGTGCAATAAGCGTGATCGTGGACCTTGTCGTTATGAGCCCGCCAACATTGATGGATGATGTAACAATATAACCTTCCCATACTCTGGTTGTCACAAGCTGAACGGGACTGCTCGGTAAGGAGCTCACTCCACGATTGAAAAATTGGAATTATAAACCCCCAATTGGCCAGCGTTTTGAGGGTAAGCTTCAGCATCCCACAGTGGACGGACACATGCTCGATCGTCTCATTGCATCCACACCCACACGGGCAGTTTGCATTATCTGCCAGCCCCCTCCAGAGTAGCCACGAGTTCGTTGGGACGGCGCCCCGCAGCAGTCGCCACCAAAACAAATTCTCCCTTGGGTGCAATTTAAAATTTCGGAACCACCGGAATTGATACTCCTCCAGCTGGAAGTTCCCACAATATGCCATAGCCGAAACCGTGGCACTAAGCGGCGAATTGATAAGCTCCGGGCAGTCGTCCGCGGTCCTCCCCCGATTTTGACTTTCCATTATGCGTTGGCCAAGGATTTCCCCAAAGCACTCGAGGACCAATTCCCCTCTCCAGTTCAGATTATCATCAATGAAATCCCCCACCATACGATCCCCCACTAGTTGGTTATTCTGAGGGTATTATCTTTTATTTTTTAGTTTTCTTTCTTCTAAAAATAATAATTTCAGTTTGTTTCATGTTTATTTGGTGATTTGCTTATTAAGTTTTGGATTGAGTCGTGTCCTACTTTATTTTGTGTTCTCCATTGGGTTTAGATCTTCCTAGTTCCCATCATGTTGTAGATTCAATTATTGTGGACATGAGTTATAAGCTTTGAGCTCCAAAAATCCGTGCCAGGCTCTACTAATAAAGTTTGTATATTTCGGGTCAAATTGTCAGAGAGCAAATTAGATTTATAGATAAGACACTACGCAGATATTTCAATCTCATTTCATTATGACTTCATGTTCCACGGTTTTCATATGCCCAAACTAAAGTTAATTACCCCTCCTAGTGACAAAATAAAACCTTCAATTAAGACTAGTCGTTAGATGCTAAGTGCTTACCATATAATAGAATAAATTAGTATTTAAATTAAGAAATTTAACACCATAAACTAACATTTCACTTCACATAGGACCACTTTCTAGGCTTTGCCATGGACCCTATGATTGGTCTATTGATATAAGGCATCAATATGTATCTTCGCTTGATGAGATAGAGATAACTTTAGCAGATCATTTTTCGACCAAGCCCATGGAAATATCATTTTTCTCTCCGAATCAATAGAACTACTCATTCCCTCAATAAAGTTCATAAAGCCATGGTTTGGATTTGGGAAATTGTAAAATATTACCTCCAACTTAATCAGCCTGACATTATAAATCTAAACTTAGTATTCTAGTTAATACATTAAAAAAATTTACAGAATGGCTAACTATTCACTTGAAAATGGAAACCAGCACTGATGTAAGATGCAACCATAGTTGGCAGCAAAACCACAACTAAAGAAAGGTTCAAGGAGGAAAATTGCTCCTTGTTTTATATAATCACTGAACTCATCTACATATCTAAGGAAATATCTACAGAGTATTGGCCAATGAATAGGCAGTAATATTTTATTAGCTCCATAACTATCAAAAATTATTCAAACAGTAAAACAATAAACTTTAGTCAAGGCCTAACCTCGTTTATACAATTAACAAGTAGGTCCGGAACATCCTTCTTTTAAAACTCCCAGGGGAGCACCTCATCTTTTGGACGACTAAGAAAGTAATGTTTTCAAATAGTTTTGCCATCAAATTGTTTACATTTTGGGTGATAATTCACATGATATCTCATTGAACACCATTAATTGCCTCCTCAGTTGAAGCAAAGGGTGATTTTGGGGATTAGAGTTTCAATTATTACAATTCAATACAAAACTCTTTAATTGAGAGAACAAGCTAAAAAATGCTAAATATGGGAAAATGAATTAAGAAAAAAATAAGAATTGAAAAAAAAGTGAAGGTAATTTGCTTGAGTAGAATACACAAACTCATTGGATGCATAATGTCAAAACACTTTTTAAAATATTACAGGTAATTTCTCAACAGGCTTTTATCCCCAAATCACAGCCATCTAAGAAGGGCTTTCAAGTTCTTCACCTTTCCAACTCCTTGAAAACATCCTGTTCAATTTCCAGTTTATTAGCACTTTCTATCATGCTGCATTTGCAATTCCTTATAATCCTCTCCTGATAGTTGTAAATAAAATTCATTCAACCCTTGGGAAATCTCATAAGCTTAAAGCACTTGGTGATAATCTTTACCGTTCTTTACAGGAATCAAAAACATATTTAGAAAAATGGAAGAAACATAATTCATCAAAAAATTTATAAATAAGTAAATATTATGTAATTGCAAGCTATAAAAACACAAGAATAACTTCAAATAGCATGAGGATATATTCTAGAGATAGCATAATTAGGTGCTAAAACAATATAAATCAAAATGCTTTCCAAACAGTCCAACCTGGGAAAACAAAGAGAGAAAATTTTTAAATAAGGAAATAAATACTCACCAGATGGAGAGAAACGTAAGGCATTCACTGTAGAACTATGGTAAGAGAGGCTTTTTTGATAGGAAGAAAGCGGGAATTTCTTTTGTGATTCACCTGGGGATATGATCCAAAGCTGCATTGAGACTGAATTAATCCCGTTTAGAGATTCAATAAAATGATACAAGGAATGAGAAAAATAGATTAAAATCCAGATGATAGTATTACCATGAAATTGACTAGAATTAAAATTAGAATACTTTGAGTTAAGTGTTAGGGAGTGATTTGAAGGAATATTTTAAAAGATAGAGATATAAGGTGCGGCATTTCATCTATCATGGAGTGGTGTGAAAGGTTCAAGATAAAGGACATAAGCCCTGTGAATTTTACATTTTAAATTTCATAATGAGAAGTATGATTGAAAATCAAATATGAAAAAAAATTTGAGATAAACTCCAAATTTGACACGTGTCTACTACTAAGTTGGTGAGTCTGAAGCCTTTGAAGTCATCAAACACAACGACAAAAACTCGTCAAATGAACTAAGTATATACTAAGGCAACTCACCAACTAAACATCAAAGGCTTGAGCCAAACCAACACTCTCAAATATCCTATTCTCTATTGAAGCTCTACTAAAAGAAAACTAGTGCAATATGATGGTACCTTTTCGTATAAGAGATTCCACAAAAATTGATAGAAAAGAAATCTTATGGTATAGGACAAACAAATCTTATCTTAACTCGTATAAATACTCTTAAAAAATAACATTCTCAATCTTTTAATTTATAATATTAAAGCAAAATCACATGGGTCAACCAGTTTCCTAATGAAAACATATATCCCAAAGGCTAATTACACTCAAGAGACGCTCTAGATAAGGGAAGTATGATCACGATCTAGTTTGACTGGATGAACAATAAGAAATGGATAATTATTTAGAAATTATCATCATAATAGTAATATATGCTTCAAGATGAGTCAGAAACAAGGCAAATGGTGAATCGTCGAAACCAAGCAAATGTATATCGTTCCATTTGGAGAATCATATGTTACAATGATTAATGAACCATCAAAAGTCCATTGGAGTGAATGCGCTCAAAGGGTGACATGAGAAAATAAGGAATTAAGGAAAAGAATTAAAAAATCTAATAAATATTTCATGGATAAATCATCCTAAGTTATTAAGCTCAAAATCATGTAACTGTAAAAGTAGTAGACACATATCAATCATAAGACACTGTCAACAATAATGAACTATGTCATCCAAAAAGAGTCTCATGATCCCAAATTATGGAAAGAAAACATAGATTCCTAGAGATACAACATATACTAAGAAGATCTAAAAAAGAAGTCAAGCTTGCAATCCTTATATGTTTAAAGAATGGTTATGGAAATAAATGAAGAGATTAACTCAGTTGAACACAGTCAAGAATACCCACTAGACTTGCAATCTTGTCTAGAGTAGAAATACACTACCTATCATACTAGACATCCACCAAAGCAAATTCAATTAAATAATGTCATCAAATAAGGAGAACTATCCAATAGGGAATAAATAAATACAAAAGTTATATATCCTTAAATGACATTTAAATATATGTATTAGGGAAAGGCCATATTATGCATGTGCATCAGCTAGGGTTTCTTTCTAATAAGCTCTATCTCACATCTCCTTGAAGATATACAAAGAGAATACTTTCAATTAAAAGATAAGCCTTTATACATTTATTGTTTAGAAGTTGTCCAAGTAAAGTTTTATTTGCCAATAAGTTAGTTAATTGAAGTCATCAAACACAATGACGAAAACTCGTCAAATGAATTAAGTATATACTAAGGCTACTCACAAACTAAACATCAAAGGCATGAGCCAAACCAACACTCCCAAATATCCTATTCTCTATTGAAGCTCTATTGAAAGAAAAATAGTGTAATATGATGGTACCTTTTCGTCTAAGAGATTCCAGAAAAAGTGCTAGAAAAGAAATTTGATGGTATAAGACCAACAAATCATATCATATTAATACTCATAGATAATAACATTCTCGATCTTTTAATTTTTAATATTAAAGCAAAATCACATGGGTCAATTAGTCTCCTAAAGAAAACAAATATCCCAAAGGCTAATTACGCTCGAGAGACACTCTCGATAAGGGAAGTATGCGCACGTTCTAGTTTGACTGGATGAACACTAAGAAATGGATAATTATTTAGAAATAATCATCATAATAGGATAAATGGATAATCCATGCTTCAGGATGAGTCAAAAAACAAGGCAAATGGTGAATCGCCAAAACCAAGCAAATTTCTATCGTTCCATATGGAGAATCATATGTGAAGATGATTAAAGAAGCATCAAAAGTCCATTGGAGTGAATGCGCTCAAAGGGTAACATGAGCAAATAAGGAATTAAGGAAAAGATTAAAAAAAAAACCTAATAATTCATGGATCAATCATCCTAAATTATTAAGCTCAAGATCACTTAAATGTAAAAGTAGTAGACACAGATCAATCACAAGACATTGTCAACAATCATGAATTATGCCAACCAAAAAGAGTCTCATGATCCCAAATTATGGAAAGAAAACATAGATTCATAGAGAGACAAAATATGCTAAGAAGATCTAAAAAAGAAGTCTAGCTTGCAATCATTAGATGCTTAATGAATGGTTATGGAAATAAATGAAGCAATTAACTCAATTGAACACAGTCAAGACCACCCAATTGGACATGCATTCCTATCTCGAGTAGAAATACATTACATATCATACTGGACATCCACTAAAGCATATTCAATTAAATCATGTCATCAAATAAGAACTATCCTATAGGGAATAAATAAATACAAAATTTATCTATCATTAAATGACATTTAAATATATGTATTAGGGTCGGGCCATATTATGCATGTGCATCAGCTAGGGTTTCTTGCTAATAAGCTCTATTTCACATCTCCTTGAAGAGATACAAAGAGAATACTTTCAATTAAAATATTAGCCCTAAGGGCATGCAATTTTGATTTTAAAGAAAATATTTTGTATATTAACTTTAAGTTGATCATCAATTTATTTAAAATTGAGTAAAAAATTTTTGCTGAGAACTTGTAGTAGTGCGAAATTTCCCAAAAAAAAAAATTAAACTACATTTGAAAGGAAAAAAGTAGGCAAACGCTATTTAATTTTGTAAAGGAAAGTAAACACAGGACGGCTAATAAATGAGTAAAAAAAGGTTGGGTTCAGCTTGATCTACAAATACAATCTCAGTAAAAATAGAAAAAGGCAATTGAGCTCTATATAAATATAATTCAATCACTAATCTATACATAAATATCAATGTGCCTAAAACTAGCACATGAGATAAATACAAGTATCATGATCCCTTAGCTCATGGCCCTTGCTAACTAGATCTTCCAGGTACTCCTTGATCATCTGGATTGGAATATACTCCTAGATCTAAAAATGCACTATTAGGGAATCTTTGTTTGGTCCCTATTAGACATTGAAAAGCTTTCCTAGCTAAAATTACATAATAAAAAGAAAAAAAACATAAGAGAGAATCGACTACTACACACAAATTCCATCTATCAACCCAAGTAATTTATAATATACATAAAATAAGGATAATATGGCGCTTTATAATGCCAAGCAACTAGCAAATGCCTTTTATTTAGTACTTTATATTAACACATAACCCCTATAAAAAAAATAATGTATGGACATATGAGGGGTACATACAAATGATAATATCTCTATCCTAGTCCGAAAATGTAGTAATATTAATGCGCATCAGACAAACCTACCGAACACAAAGCCCTGCACCAAGTAGCGTTTGTAGCAAAACAACGTATCTACATTGTATCCCTAAATTAATTAAGAGTGTACCTATCATAACACCTTGTGTATGCAAAACTACCAAGCTTGCTTGTCTTTAGAATCCAATTAAAGCTAAGGCATGCCACCTTAACCTAATCAGGTCGTAAAACAATATTTTTAAGAAAGGTTTGATAAGGTTGAAAAAGATTTGAAAATAAACAAGATATCTATAATTTTCTAAAGGCAGGAATCAAAAGAATTTTCAAAATGTTGGCATTAAATATGACCTAATTAGTGAATTTAGTTTTTAAAAAATGAATTTAAGTGACATGCCCTAGGTTGTTTGTATCTCTGAATAGTCATATGCAAGATTTGAAATTATATAATCAAATATTGAGGCATTTTCTATTCTTGAGGCAACATAAGTCTCAAGGTATTTTGAGATGTAAGCCTCAAAATTACATGATTAAATTTATTAAAAAAAAATGAAATGATAGCTAACAAACTAACATCAAAGTAGGATATCAAAGTAAAATCAAATCAATAAGCCTCTCTCGCTCTTAATTCAAGAAGTCTAAATCACTTAGATTATAATTTATAATTTCTAAAGTCTCCTCTACTCTATCACTTAGAAGGTCTTCATCAGAATCATCATTACATTGAGTAGCTTTCTCTTTTCTCTCATCCACAGTTGCAGCTGAGGTTGCAATTGCGGCTGCAAATGCAAGCAACGTCAGGTGCTAGTGCTATATGCAACTGAGAATTGAGAAGATGCATGCAATTCAAGTTCTTAGTTATATTTGTTTAAGGTCTAGGTGTAGAGAAATAATGAAATAAAATTTATTTCATACGTTAAAATTATGAATTAAAATTTTAAATCACCAAATTCAAATTTCCATAGGCTTGTGCCTCATACAAGCTACATAAAATCACACCTTGAGTGTTCCTTAGCCTCATTAAGTCGTACGACTCATCAAGTAAGGTAAGGCATGAAAAAAAAAAAGGTTAAGGCATGTGCCTAATATTGTTCTTTTTCAAAATTGTGCAGTTTTAAACCATGATCATATAAGATATTATAATAGGATTATTTGCATTATTAAATGAACCACCACTTGATAATAATATTCAACCTATCATAGACACTAGCCAATCCTAAATCTATGGATTAGACCAATCCCACCACTCATGTGCTGACTGAACTATATGAAAATGCAAATGTATATCAATATGAGAGATTCAACCATTTGAACAGATTTTAAATTCTTGAAAAATGAATTCTAAGCAAAGTGTGAAGTCAAAGATATCTGAATGGAAGTAACTCACTCAAACAACAAAATGCTTTGGTTGAAGTGACCTACCAAGGATTGAAGTGGACAATGGGTATAAGGATGCCTTTGAAAATATGATATGTCTAAATTTCAAAAGCAATTTTGTCAAAAAAGCACGAATAAATTGAAAAGTTAAGTATAATAAAAAAGGTACAACTTTAATAGATGAAAGAAGTCAAAATAATATAATTAGGGAAGAATAATGTAGCCAAGAGAGCATAATTATATTAATCCAGTTAAGAGAGCATGATTGTACTAAATGGAACCTAGCAAAAAAAGCAAGGCGGGGGAAAATAGCATAGCCGACAAAGCATGACTATTCTAGGAGTATTTAAGTCAAAATGATGCCTTTGGGATGGATTGTCTTCATTTAAACTTTTGTAGAATCCACAAAATTAGATTTTACATAGGAAAAATGGAATAAATGCAACTGATGTTTGGAAAAACAAGGGACTGCATTTAATATTTCAAACTTATGATTTTGAATTTCCCCAAACCCATGTTCTTCCGAAGGGATTTAAGTTAATTTTTTATTTGATAAATGAAACAATGAATATTTCAAGTATGAAAATTACAAAAAAAGGCTTAAATATTTCTAAGAAATTTAGGAAAAATCAATGCAATGCAATTGACTTATGAAAATTGTTTCAAAAGCATATAAATATGATATGCATTGAAATCAATTTCCAAATCCCAATTTTTAATTATGAAAAATTAAATGCCTTCAAGAAAATGGGATAAAAATTACACAAATGCATTTAATAATGGACATTTGACTTTACATGTCTCATAATAACATAAATTGAAGAAATATGTTCATTATTTCGATTCTAGGAAAACTCTGCCTCAATATTTTAATAGAGTTGAAACCTTGCTAACCAATTCCACGATCCTTTCATCGTAAGAGTACCCCCAACCCCTCGTATTCTCATCACCTTCTCCATTTTAGACAATTTTAGAGCTTGTGCCTAAAGCATGTGGCAAAAGATTCAATGTGACTGCCACTATACTCATCATCTTTAAACATTGGTGATGCTTTTTGGTTTTTCATTTCTTTGCACTCTAAAACCTAAATCCCTTGGCCATTATACATCACTTTACCTGCTAGTTTTAATGTTAGTCATCTTCCAAATGCATTTTTCATTATAATAATGATGAAATAACCATCTAACACTCTTAACAATCTTTGAACCATGATCAAAATTTATTCAATAATTTTTTAAAATGTTGGACCTATTTAACTTGTTTTAATAACATCTTAAGCCCATGATTTAGCAATATTCAATCCAATTTTGATGCATTATATCCTTGTTCAAACTTATTCAAAGCATATTCAACCACATGCTCAACCCTATGTCCTTCATCGATCATGTCAAATTATCTTCCAAGAAGAGTCGAAGAAGGTTTGATCAATAGTTTGAATAAGTTCAAATAATGTTATATTATGTTGAATTTGGTTCCAATATTGCTAGACCATGGGTTGAAGATGTTGCTAAGACCCATTAAGTAGATCGATATTCGATCATGATTGTTCGATCATTGAATAATGTTCAATCATGATCGAAGATTATTTAATAATTGTTGTTTGTAATTTGAAGATAATAGGATTCGCTCATTTAAGATAATGTACTATGTATGTAGATATATGATTTAATCTTGCATTTGCGAGGCATTATCCAATTTAAGTCACATATAAAGTTGGGGAGATAATGGAGAACTTGCGTAGGAAAGTTGAAGTTGATGACCTCATTCCCAAACTAAGGGATCTCTTTTACGACACTTCTTTAGAGATCCTAAAATACAATTCTTTGTACCCTCATTCATTAATCGTGATTGATGATGATTATAGATAATAAGAATGCTGCCATCATGTTCAACATCAAAGGGAAAAATATGGTCATTGGGATTGCAAAGTATGTTATAATGACTAGGTTGAATTTTCAAGAGTTCCCAAATGATGTTGAGTTCAGAGGATGATAAGAACTAGAAGATTATTTGAGAACTAGCTTGGTGAAACAAGAATTTCAAGAATATAGGCCTTTAAAATGCTTTCATGAAGTATACTAACAAAGATGATTTCTAGAAGCTTGGGTTGTGCTTCTTTTTAGATGGTGTCCTCCTTAATCATTATAAGCACAATACTATCTTCAATGAAATGATTCTAATGGTTAAAGATGAGGATGCATTTTTTAGATCCCGTTGAGGCAAGATGTCATAAGAGTGGAGGAAATGAGGGCTGAAAAGGGACATGTTGCATTAGGATTAATATGTAGGAACAAAGAGTAGCCCAACCCAATACACCATAACTAAATATGCAATATCACTACAGTAATGAGTTTATAAAGCCATTCCAGAGGTGAGGAGGAGATATGTTGAGTTTTTGGGAATAGAGTACTAGGGATGCAGAATTGAAAGAGCAACAAAGTGATCACGAGCAAAAAAAAAATTCCATTGCTCAAAAATAAAGATGAAAGTGTACATTTTTTTATGGTTTATGAATATAAAGAGCTAATGAGGAGATATATATCAAGTGTAATTATTTTTCCATCTCTTACTTTTTGTAGGGAGTTGTCCATCCCAAACTCCTATGCCGAGTAAATGAAGAACTTTATAAGTCAATTGTTCATAGTCCCACTTAGCCTCATAATTAAGATTACAAAGAAGAAACCGAGCACCCCTATCTTTTTAGGAGAGAGCAAGGGAGGTAGAAAAAGTACAACCAGTTGAAATTCAATTCATTACAAACCATATTCAGTGAAATAAACATCACATATCAAGTGCTTTCATTTGCAAGACTCATTAAAACACACAAGTACTCAAAAACTAAGAGCTCGTGAATAAACAGTCTTGGAAACATTAGGCTCATAGCTTAACCTCTTATTGAAATAGTTTAGCCCATTTAATCGTTGAAGCAAAATATTAAGTAAACCCAACAAATTGAATGTGCCTGTTTTGTGAAAGAATTGAACTATAGAGAGAAATAACTTTACTTTAAACCAAACATAGAGAGTAATCTAGTGCATAAACAAATTATTATAGATAATGAAGTAGTTGTGCAGAAAACAAAGTAATTAGATGTAGTTCAAACCAAATAAAGAAATAAATTTGCATGTCATTATTTTACCATCAATTTTTCTCTGAAACAAATAACCCCAGACCAAAATAAAAGATAGCAATCAGCATTTTAAATATTTTCACAAAACCAACATTGCAACAGCTGCTAAACGGAAAGTCTCGATTCTAACCAAAAATTTTGAATTTTTATAACTTTCAAGGCCATTTATCCACAGGAGATCCACGGTTTACAGTAAATCAATAAGTGAATTTCCAAACACAATGAAAATATCACAAAGAACCGATCAATATCCCATCTTTATCTTTCGTGAGAACACTAAAATAATATAGAAAAGCATAGATATGTACCTTGATATCATTGTCGCCGCCTCCCGTGGCTAGGGTTCCAGTAGGGAAGTGAAAATCTAGGGTTAGAACTGGCTTCGTGTCATGCCAGTTGATCTGGATCGTTCCACCCCTCATCCTACTTTCAATACAAAACAATGGTGGTTGTCTTCCTCCTTCGCGCTGTCGAGGAATGGATTAGGGTTTGACAATGTCAGGAGAATCCGCGCGCTGCTAGACTGGCAGGAAGGCGGGAAAATGGGGCGGAAGTTAAAAAAAAAATAGTATAGGGCGAATTTACCAGCATATAAATGATGTTTATTTATTTATATATTTAATGTCCAGATTTTAATATTTAATTATATAATTTTACAATTTTAAATCAGGAGAAGAGATAGAGACATTTGGGCAATTAGAGCTTTTTAGAGAGAAAAATTTAGGGTTTTTTTGTGGCTCTCCGCATGTCTCCACCACCGTCTTTCCGGGAGAGGTCGTCCTCTCCCGGACCTCCCCCCATGGCTCTCGTCCAGGTTGATTTTTCTCCTTTGGGCTCCTCCATCCTTGGAGTTCCTGCTTCCCCCCTCGACCGTTCTTACACACACAATCTCTCCGATGACTCTCCCCCTTTTGAGGACTTCCCGATGTCCTTTGTTCCCTCGAAATCGAAGCTTTCGTTCATTGCTAGAGATCTCTCCGAAGGCGCCTCTCTCTGGTCATTGTCTTTGATCGGCTACTCACTTTGACCGCGACCATACTATGAACGTCTGCTCGCTACCATGAATAATGTTTGGCAGTTGAAAGGTTTGATATCCCTTCTCTCCTTAGCTGATGAGGTTTTTCCTTATCAAGTTCACCTCTGGGGAAGATTACTCATGATTTGGACGGGCGGTCCTTGGTTTTTACTTGAGAGACCATCATTTTACAAAAATGGTCGCCCAAGTTCAAACCTAGGCGGGATGAAGCCACCTCCTTCCCCATTTGGATCAAAATCATGGATTTTCCCCTCGCTCTGTGGACTCCGTCTGGGATCTCTAATATTGTCAGTTATATTGTTATACCGCTCAATGTTGGCTCCCTCACGGCCAAGAGAACTAGGCTGACTTATGTTAGGGTTTGTGTCCAAATTAGCAAAGACTCACCCCTACAAGATGAGATTCCGATAGAAATTTACGGGGAAGATCTTGTCCTCCAAGTCCTATATGATTGGAAACCTTCTCGCTGTGAAGGTTGCGGTTCTTTAAAGCATCAATTCCCTCTTTGTATGTCTAACCCCAACCACAGTAATCTTGAAAGTTCATTAGGGATGTTAGGCCCTATGAACTGGTCCAAAGCTAATTAAGAGAGAGGTGAATGGGTAAAAAATATCTTTCAATCAAAATCAACATCACCACAATAAAAACAAAGTGCGGAAATTAAATGCGGAAGTAATAAAGAAAGAATACACTGGATTTATAGTGGTTCAGTCAAACCTTGACCTACGTCCACTCGTTGGAGGCACCCTCCAAGTATTGCACTAAACTAAGTGTCTCTCCTTTAGTCCCCACAGCTAGGCGGAGAAGCTCTTACAAAATCACTTCCACCTTCTCCGATGCAGCGGAGTCGTCGGGTCCTTTGACACCAAAGAGATCTTCTTCTTTGGTGAACTTCCCTTGGACAAGCCTTGAATCCGACGTATTCAAGTGCGAGCTTGCCGGAGCAACCGTGTGGAACCCCCTCCACACTCCCTTGAGTCCCCCCTCACAGGATATTCTCCCTTTCTCAAACTCCACCCTTTCCTCACTCCCTTTCAAGCTCTCTCTTCAAGTTTCCCCCAAAAGAAAGAAACTACAATGGCTGCAAAGACGCTTACAAAGTGTCATGTCATAGCTTAAATAGAAGATCTCAAACGAGCTCCTTAATGCAAGTTGTCGACTTTATCGTCCTGTACGATCAGTGCAATTTAAGCTCAATCAGCCAGGACGATTCGAGACGATCAAAAGAAATTTGTTCATATCGTCTAAGATGATAATATATTGTCCAGGACGATCAGTACAAATTGTGGAATATTGTCTTGAACATCGCCCTGAAAAAGAGCTCTCCGATGTCCAATCGTCCAGTGTATCATCCCGGACTATCCTGTGATCGTCCAGGATGATTTGATTGTCAAATCAAGTCATAATTGCTTTCCTTAAATGCTAGATTAATTTTGGAAAAATTGTCTTGTATCATCCTGGACGATATTTTATAGTCCTGGATGATGTCCAAAATAAGTAATTCCTAAATAGATATGGCGGAATATTCTTTCTATTTTGAGCATATCATCCTGGTCGATACAAAATCATCCAGGACGATGTTTTTGCATAATGACGGCTGCTTTAATGAGGATGCCCTATTCAGGGGTTTCTACTTTTGAACCGATCGTACAAAACGATATAAATATCGTCCCGGACGATGTTAACAAAAATAGTAAACATTAGGGAACAATCAGAGAATCTTCCAAGTTACAAAGCATCATGAGCCACACCACAAACAATAGACTCAAGAAAGGAAAAGGGTTACAAATTGACTTAGACCTAGTCTACCCAATCTTGAGTTGATTCCAAATTACAGTGTTATCTTGTGAACCTGCAATCTCATTAGATAAAGCAGTCGTAGAGGAATAAGAGTATTTGCTATCATCAAAATCATAAACCATGAAAACAAATCCGTAACAAATCTTCCTCTTAACATCACTCTCTTACAAGTCCAAACTTCCTTTTCTCCGGCAGCTACTGAAACTTTACCCCCTAATATCCATGAGGTGGTTTATGCTCCTGGTAGAGAAGTAGCTATTCATAATCTTAATTTTACCACAGAAGATTCCTCTTCTTTAGCCAACCATAACCTTGACCCCGAACAGTCTTCCCTTGTTCATCTCATTATCCCATCCCCTCCCCCCTCCACCAAACCCATCATTACTAACAATAAGTTTGCTTCCCTTGACCAAAAATCTTCCTCTTCGCCTTCCACAGATCAGATCCCCCCACAAGATGACACAGCTTCCTCTATTGGGGTTAAACAAAATCAAAAACAAAATGCTCAACCATCCCCTTACTCAAAGTCGACCAGAGGTAAAAAAGTCAGGAAGGAAAAAACATCCAAAACTTGATCAATGTACATGCACGCATTAGCTTGTTGGAATGTGAGGGGGTTTAACAACCACGACAAAGTCCGTGCTTGTAGAGATTTGGTGTCCTCTTAAAGTCTTAAGGTTTTTTGCATCCTCGAAGCAAAAGTCCACACCTCTGCTCTTCAGGATCCCTGGTTTGTTAATTCTCACATCATTTTTAGCAAAGAGAACAGTTGTAACAACTTTAACCTCTCTACTTCTGGTAGAATCTAGTTGAAATGGGATTCCTCAGTTTTCTCCTTTACTCCCCTTTTCTCTTCAGATCAAATGATTCATCGTTCTCTTTCTTTTGGCTCTCTTCCCCCCATCTTTATGTCAGTTTTTTATGCTGCGAATACTGCTCATGAATAGAAATCCCTTTGGCATGATCTAAGGGGTTTAGTTCCTCTTGCTCCTCACCCGTAGATCATCTTGGGGGACTTTAACTATTGTCGTTTTGCTTCTGATGAAGTTGGTGGTTCTGAGTTGTTGCCTGACAGATTGGGGGAACTTAACAGTATTATTTTTTATGGGGGTATTCAAGATTGCTTCTGTTGGTCTCTTTTATACTTGGTCAAATCTTTAGATCAGTCAGCCTATTTACATAAAATTTGGACATGATGTTAGTGAATGTTAAATTTCTTGAAGTCTTTCCTCAAGCTTATTACAACACCCTCCCTACGGTTAATTCAGATCACTCCCCCTTGGTTTTATTTGCTACTCCCATATCCTATACGCCTCGCCATTTTCTTTTTAAAAATTACTGGATTCATATGGATGGCTATTGGGAGGATGTTTTGGATTCCTTCTCTCAATACAACCACTGTAGCCCCACTGCCTCCTTCTATATAAATCTTTAATGCCTCAAGGCTAAGCTTAAGAGCAAGACGTAGACTTCTTCCAACTATCTTTCTAATTCCATTTTGGAATTTAAAAGTAAACAGCAGGATTGTCTTTTAGCACTTCAAAACTCTCCTTTGGACATAAATCTCAATCTTAACCTGAAGATTATTAAGGAGCATATACTTAAGCTCCAAGCTTTTTGGGCTTCCTGGATTTCTCAAAGTGCTAAAGAGTATTGGCTTACTAAAGGGGAGGATGACCTTGGTTTCATATATGCCAAAATCCGGGCTAAGGCCAATCTCAATAACATCAGGGAAGTCACCACCTCTATGGGACATCACAATAGCCAAAGGGACATTGCCGAGGGTCTTATTAGCCATTTTAAAGAATCTTTTAATGCCCCCAAGCCTCCTAATTCTCTCAATTTTAACTTCCCCCATGGGAAGGTTATTCCTGAAAACCTATTACCTTCCCTCTTGGCTCCTTTCTCGATTGAGGAGATTAAATATGCGGTTTTTTTCTGGACAAAGCAATTCGGCCCCGGCGCCTGATGGGTTCACCTTTGCTTTTTACAAGCTCTCTTGGCACATTATCGATTTACAGGTCTGCAATGCCGTCAAGGATTTATATAAGTCTGGACATCTTCCCTAAGGTCTCAAAGCCTCAGCTATTATTTTAATACCCAAAGGCCCTCATGCTTCCAATGTCCATGATTATAGGCCTATTTCCCTATGCTATGTGCTCAACAAAATTGTGTCTAAAGTTTTAGCCAATAGAATTAAACTAGTGCTACCTTTCATTGTACATGATAGTCAAGCGAGGTTCGTTAAGGGAAGGTGTTCTACGGATAACATCCTTTTAGTGGCTGAAGTTCTCAGAGATTTCTCTTCAGGCCATAATGTTTTTTGTGCCAAACTTGACATCAAGAAAGCTTTTGGTTATGTGTCCCATGACTTTCCAAAATGTAGGATAAAACAAAAGGGGTTTCCGAAACAATTTATCAAGTGGATTGATGGCTGCTTATCGGGTGTGCACTTTTCCATTTATTTAAATGGCACCATTGAATGATTTTTCTCCTCCTCCTCGGGTCTCCGTCAAGGTTTCCCCCTATCCCCCACTTCTTTTTCTACATTGTGATGGATGCCCTCTCTTGCTACCTTATTCAGAATTTTTCTGTTCCCTCTCTTCGAAGAGTGTTGAGGTGAATTTAAATCACTTGTTATACGCGGATGATTAGCTGGTTTTTGTAATGCTTCCCCTTCCTCTGTTGTCATCTTCAAGGACTCTAAATTATTTTGCCAAAGCAACT